GATGGAGAAGGCATCTGATTGATGATCCACAAGATCTATTTGGTAAAAGTGCTGGCTTACGTGCTTTGGGCTCATTTTTTTCCTCTTACACACTGACAAACCTTACTGAATTCAATGGGGTGGTGTCATTGAGATGCCTCAGAGGGCACAATTGGATGCTTAGTTGCTTCTATCTCTGCTAAATGTATGTCTTGAGTCAATATTGTGGGGCTTGTGTTTCAGACAAGGGAGTGAAATTGCACCACTTTGCACTGTTTTTATGAAACTTACCTAGCTTAGCTTTTGGGGAGTTTGTTTTAAATAAAATTGATCTAGGTTGAGTTATCAAGCCATCTGTGTGCTAAATCCTTATTCAGCTTTTGAAATTCTCAAGCTTAGTTTTTATGACAAAGGGGCAAGTACTGGCTGGCCCCTTCAATGTGAATGGAAGTTTTGCCAATGTCTTCAAGAGGCAACGCTTTCTCCCAAGAAGTTTTATGGTACAAACTAATACTTCGCAAATTTTGGGAAAGTTTCAGAAAATTCAGCAATAGACATTAAAGTCATACCAGTGTAATGAGCACAGCTAGCAATTTGTACTCAAAATTATTGAAAGGGTTAAATAAGTAAATTTAGTTTTAGAAAAACATTCTCTCTTTGTATTTTGTTTTTCAGTCAAGCATCTACTTTCATTGAAACTCTTATACTAGTTAAAACTTAAAACTCCTGGCTACACGCAGAGAAAAAAAATTGACTAGAAATACTTCTGCAAAATATTTGAGAGACCTAGCCATCGCTTAACTCTGCATTAAGCAAGGACGTTGTTGTATGTTATGATCATTTCTTTTTTAAATGTATTCCATCTTGTATTAAGAGCTTCAAAATATTCCTTAAAATGCACCTAAAACAGCTGTGAAACTATTTGCACTACCAAGGTAATTTAAAAAAATAAATCTTGGAACTATTCATACCTGATACCAGAAGCTAAGACACTTGAACTTCAGGAAGGAGTGTATGATATGTACAATATGACAATTTTAAATGTAATGGTCAGAATGAAGCTGCATTGTTAAATAAATTTACACAGTTTAAGTTAAAGCAATTTCACCAACAGAAATCAGAATTGTTGTAATCTCTTAAAAAGAGAAACTGTAAAAAAAAATTAGATTCTATAATGGATATTAATAGACACTTTAATTCTTAGAAATTTATTTTAGTGCAATTCAAGCAAATCTTAATCATTCAGACCACAATAGACATGCACAATGATCCAGAATGAGGTGAGAATACCTTTGACATTTTAGGTTTCTTTGGTGTAGGGTACTTTTTTTCTGTTAGATCTAAAAGTTTAGACTTTAGTAAGGGTTCTATGCCCTCTAATAATTTGTCTCTAATTTTTATTCAGAAGACAGAAAAAGTCACCTGCATTTACCACATGAAAACAGTGATTCAGCAGAACCCTTGGAATATGGTGTTCAGAATCCAGAATCTCTGAGTGAAGAAACCCTTAACTCGAAATCCCAGTCTGAAAGAGACTTAAGAGGCATCAGGCAAAAGTCTATACAAGAAAGGCGGGAAGTGGTTACGCTGCTCACTACATCCTGCTGCAGCATTGGCTGCAGCGAAAAAGATATAAGCTCACTGTGCTAAAATGTATCAGATGCTGGATGGATTATATCCAATAGCTCTCATACATGTTGTGATTATTTTAATGTAACTGTCTGAAATTAGATTATTAAAATTATGTTTCTTGAATTCTAACTTTATTTTCTGCATCATACTGAGGCTTAAAGGTTAAATTTTAACTAGTGTCATGCAAAGCAGCCTTGATATGCTTTTTTGTGATAACTCAACTGTTTATACAAGGCATTTAATGTGTTAAATTTCAAACCACACGTGCTAATATCTTCCCCTGTCCAATTATACTAGTTTCAGTTGTTGTGGTTAAATTTTAATAAAGTGTGCAATACACCATGTATGTTTTTCATTGTGTTTTTTCAATTATGAACAGCCCCAGCAGGTTTACCAAGGTTGGGAGGGGAGAGATATACAAGCTAATAGTATTACTTAACTGAGCAAATAATAATGTGGTACATGTAGTATCCCTAATGCCTTTCCATCATGCGTTATCAGAATGAAACTGTGATTCAAACACCCATGCGCATCATCAGACTTGTGGTATCAGACCAGTGATCCACCTAGTCCAGTGGCCAGTCTCTAACATTGGCCAGTACCAGAAACTTCAGGAACAGGTTCTAGAATTCTGATAATGGATGATTAGGAAATAATCTGCTTATCAAAGTTTCTTCCTCTAAACCCCATCTATTAGTAGGTGGCTTTTCCCCTGGGCATAAGGATTTGTAGCCCTTATACTTGTATCTTAACGGAAGCAGTTAGTGTCCCCATGGTTCTTTAAATAAAGTCTATACAAGGTTAATTCTGGGCACAAGGTCAAATTTGCCCCTCCCTCCCCTCTTACAGAGAGACTGAAGATACAGTTCCAAGCAAAGGAGGTACATTTCCTCTTACACTAAAGAAAGACTTCAACCAAGATCCCAAAGTCAAAATATTGATTACCTTTATGCACATTGAAAAAAAACTCTAAGCATGTTGAATATTACTTAAAAACACATAGCAAAACAACCTCCAATACAATGAGACAACAGCTATATCCTCCCGTATGGCCCACATCAACAAACTGAGCAGACAAAAAGCTAAAATTATCCTCCCTTTCCACCAATTCCCAAACTTCCCGAGTCTCTCCCACTTTCAATTCCCTGGAATAAATAAAAGGTGGCCAAAAATTTGCCCTGAAGATCATTAGATCTGGTGTAAAGTTTTCAGAAGTACTTCAGTGGCTTATGAGTCTAAATCTAATTTTCAAAAGTAACTTAGCATTTAAAAACCTATAAGCCAAATCTACACTAAAAAGTAAGATTGACCCAGCTATTTGGGCTGTTCAAAGTGTAAACATAGGGTACGTCTAAACTACATGGCTCCGTCGACAGAGCCATGCAGATTAGTGTACTTGAAAAAGGGAAATGAAGCAGCAATTTACATCAAAATGGTTGCTGCGCTGTGCTGATCAGCTGTTTGGCAGCACAGCGCAGTAGTAGATGCTCTGCAGTCGACAAGGGAAGCCCACGAGGCATAACATTCCTCATTCCATGAGGCATAAGAGGGCGGTCGACAAGTGCTTCCCTTGTCGACCGCTGAGTGTCCAGACTATCGTGCTCTGCCACCAAACAGCTGATCGGCACAGAGCGGCAGCCATTTTGATGTAAATGAAGTGGCAATTATTTAAATCAATGCTTCATTTCCCTATGTCTAGAAACCTCATCTACATGGCTCTGTCGACAGAGCCATGTAGTCTACATATACCCATAAGGACTTAGGCTTTGAAGTGCATAAGTCACTTTTGAAAATTAAACTCAGGCTCCTAAAATACTTGTATTAAACCTAGGGTATTTTGATTCAAGGTCATGGTAGGAAAATAGTTTATAAGATGTGGGAATAGCCTTCTGTACTTTGAGGAGGCTACTGGAATTAATGTACAGACAGCTCTAAGTCCCTGGACCAGCTAGGGGCTCAGTCTGGCTCCAGCACAATAGAAAAAACAGTGCTGGCCTGAGAAGTTAGATAGGCATCCTGCGTGCTGGAAATACAATTCAGTCAGGACACTGAGCTGTAACACAATTACATTTCATAGCATGGATTGGGCCTACTCATGCCCCCATAATCAGGCAAAAGCCTTGGACTGTTCCAAGCTTTTGCCTAGTTATGAGGAAGCCACGAAGGTTCCCATCCACACTGCAGTTTTAAAATGGTGTTGCAGCTGGATTTGGGAGTGTTGACAAGCTGACAATCCTGAAGTTAAACTGTGACAATATGGCACAATGGTCAATTCATTAACTGCCCTTGATCTCTAACATCTGTGCTTTTCTTACAGCAAAACTCTCCTGAGCAGAGGAGGGATTAAGCCAAATTGCAGGGTTCTACTGATTCCAAACTTTTTTCACTTAGAACTAGTTCTGCAGAGGTATAAAAATAAAGTGGGAGTTTATTAAACAGTATCTGCTTTACTGTTTAGTGCTTGCAAAAACAAAACTCACAGAATGACCTATTTTAAACACAGATGGTGCCAACAAGTTCAAACATAAACATGTACTAAAGAGTAAATAACAAAGGTAATGCTGCATATTGGTGCAGAATCGATGTACAAAGTACACATTTAAAGTACAGATTGAACCTCCCTGGTCTGGCACCCTCAAGACCTCACTGGTCCCAAACCAGAGAATTTGCCAGACCAAGGGACGTCAATGCTGGCCTCTATGCTCCTGGCCACTGGTTCCCAGGGCACTGGTCCCTCCCCCTGCTCTTGAGGGGCGCCGGGGTCTCTGCCACCAGATCCCAGAGTGCAGGGGGTCTTCTTCTCTGGGGGCACTGAGGCTCCTTTTTGCTCAATGCCCTGGGAACCAGTGGCCAGGAGCACTGAGGCCAGCATTGACCTCCCCTCATCTGGCAAATTCCCTGGTTTTGGGCCAGGAAGGAGTTGGGTGGTGGCTGGGAATAGAACCCTAACACCCTGGAGACCAGTCCAGAAGAGTAGAGGGGAGAAATTGATTTGTTTAGTCTGAAAAAGAGAAGACTGAGAGGAGATATAACAGCTTTTAAGTACTTAAAAGGCTGTTACCAGGAGGAGGGTGTAAAATTATTATTCTTAACTTCTGAGTACAGGACGAGAAGCAATGTGCTTAAATTGCAGAAAGGGAAGTTTAAGTTGGACATTAGGAAAATGTTCCTGACTATCAGGGTGTTTAAGCTCTGGAATAAATTGCATAGGGAGGTTGTGGAATTTCCATCACTGGAAATGTTTAAGAACAGTATAGACAAATATCTGTCAGGGATGGTCTACAATGGTACTTGGTCCTGACATAAGTGCAGGGGGCTGGACTTGATGACCTCTCAAGGTTCCTTCCAGTTCTAATATTCTATGAAAAAATATATAAATGATCCATGGGGTAAGGTACATCGGCTGGTTAAGCCATGAGTCATTTCAGTGCTTTAAAAGTTAAGGTCTGGACATACTACTACTTCACACAGGTCACTTCTAAGCAGAAGAATACAATATATGAATTGCAGATAAACCATTTTCTTTAACTCATAATGAGAGAACTATCCTACCAAGATAAAACTGAATCCCTTGCCATATCTGGGTAATATTTTTTTCTTTTTTATAGTTCAATATAACTGCGGTATATGATTTTTATACTATAAAGATAAGTTTATGTAACATCAAGAGATAAAACCAGTTGGTTCACATTACAGATGCTGCTGTGCTATTTGACTTTTACTAAACCATAGCCACTTCTGTTAGAACATTAACTATAAACTCACATTATGTATAAAAATAAATGGAAACCAGCTCTATGTTTCTCAAATGCCAAGAAAGATTTATTTTTGACGCTTTAGTCAATTAATTTAAAACATGTTCCACAATACTTGCTTTCTAGTATAAATTTAAAATCCAAACAGACCTGCTTGAAATCTTGCACATTTTGATCTTCCATGAAAATTACTGTGTAAAGTTTATAATGGGAGGGTTGTGGGCATGAATATGATCTAACCCATCCAATATATCAACAGGACTCTAAAGTACACAAATCCAAAATGTAAGCTGTGTGGAAGGTGGACTTAATCACTTGAAATATTGACCCAATTACCTTAAAGCCATTTCTCACCTCTTCGCACAGCCTCATCCCTGCAAAATCAAACTAAATTGTCTTTACCCAGTTACTTGGGGGCTACAGTTGTGAAAGAATTCATCCAAATGATCTCTCCTGGATCTAGATAGCACTATCAGGGATCAAAGAGTGTTAATTCCTGTAACTTCTTTTCCTACTTTTCTCTCCCTTCCTCCACATTTCTTTAAATAAAAAAAGAGTTTATAGCAATTTAAAACCAAATATGGGATTTAGCAGTAATAGCTAGAGGTTTTAAACTTCAGCATGCTGACTTCCAAATACTGCATAAAGAACATTGTAAGAGCACCACCCTGATACTATATGCATCCAATAATAAATAAGAAGGATATTGATTGTACTATGCTCCCTTTGATTCAGAAAAATATAAAAAGGAGTCCAGACTCATGAGTCATACAAAAGTACTCTTATAGGATTTACTTGTTGGGGAGAGGGGAAGGACTAAAAACAAAATAGTTGAGGACTAAAGTCTAGATTTACCCAGAGAATATACCATTTATAAGATCTTGTCAGAGGAGAGGTAGGAGAATAGGTAGTATTCGCTGGTAAGAAGGTATTGTGAGAACTTCTGGGAAGTGTGCCAAATCAATGTTCTCAATGAGGTAAAGCTACCCCCAGGACGAAGCATCTCCAGCAGTCTTCAGGAAGAGTTCCCATAGAGCCAAAATAAAGATGTAGATCATGCAAGCATGCTATAATACCAGAAGTTCAGAACCTTGCCCACAGAAATGTAATAAAGGGTTTTGTATGGGGGATAAATTCCATCTTTGCACACAACTCTAATTTGTATCAATTGGGATTCCATGAGTGAATCAAAAGGAGCAAATACCCCTAATATCTATATATTTTGGTTTAAGCATTTATCATGACCTCATGCTTAGTGGTCAACTGATGGAACAATTAAAAATCACTTGGCACGTTTGGTTAGCAAATGACATCTGGCATTAGATCAAATTTCTTATGCTATTTAAACAAAAGTGTTCTCCTCTAATCTAAATGGTGTCATCTCAACTTTTCCTGGGTAATTTATCAACTGTTTTCAAAATATTTAGTTTCAGGTATAAAAAACAACTAGGAGCAGAGCAGATAACAATTTAAGCCTTTAAGAAAGTGAGGTTCTGTATACACTCTTGTTGGTAAACTTTTGTCAGTCTGAGGTGTGAAAAAGAACACAATCTAACAGACATGTCACCAGCAAAAGTGCTGGTGCTGACAGAGCGACATCTGCAGGAGACGCTTTCCAGATGACGTAGCTAACATTGCTCATTGGGGATGGTTTAATTATGCTAGCAGGAGAGCTCTCTCCAACCGGCACAGAGTGACTATATATAGGAGATCTTATAGCTATAAAGGTAGAGGTTTGTGGTGTAGACATAGCCTAAAAGATTAGATTGATAAGGATTTAAATTGGATTTTCATTTTAATCCAGAAACTATAAAGAAATAAAACTACCTGAAAACATTAAATCATTAGTTCCACCTCTTGCACAGGGCAGTTTTAACTAATTGATTTTATTAAGTAAAATAGAAACAGAATTTCATATACATACCACTAATTAGACACACTGCTGCTTCCAGTACAATAAAATATTTCTCAGCATAATCAGCTGGTTTTACCTGTCATGATACTTATCTAGATTTTCCTCATGGTTCTTAATTCTTACTAGTCAAGGGTCAAAATTCTCTCATTGCAAAAAGAAAAAGTGGAAGCGCTACAGCTTTGCAACACTGGAAATAGAAGCAGGAGGAAAGATGGTCTAGCCCCACCCTGATTCACTTGCAAGAGCTGTTAGGCTTGGAGGGTGCAATTAAAAGTAAAAAGCCAGCTTAATTGAGGACCAGTTGGGAAGGACAGTTTGTTACCAGAAACTTGGTAGGGAGAGCAAGCTGCATCTGGGATCCGTGTGAAACGAAGGGGAATGAAATTTGAGCCCAGAAGACAGAAGGTTCTTGTGGTTTGTGTTGGATTTTAACTCGGTACTTCGCTGCCATGGAATGGGTAGATCTTCCTCAGTGACTTGGAGGAGGCCTAAGCCATATCCATAACTAAAATGTGCAGAAGACTCTCAGCCATAATCAAAACAGAATCAGAGATGCCACATGAGAAAGGGGTGAACAGGGACATCACTTATGCCACGGGGGTGGGGGGAAGGGGCTGAAGACAATGAAATGCATGGATCTAGTACTTGTAAATCTTTTAGGATACTGGTCACAGCTTGTGACATAGCTGTGCAGCTGCTCAACATTTTAACTCCATAATGAAAGCATTTTTTTTAACTTCTGCAAATCTCAGATTGGCCTAATGCATAAAGCCCTTTTACTTTGGTACTGAAACTGAGGTCCAGGATTTAATTAGAGCAAATAACAATGATACAAGCTAATACAGTGATATGTGGTTCTGAAACACAATTAAAGAATCAGGTGCAAAATGTCTTATTAGTATTAATCATTTCCTGTGGAAAGTAGCAAGAGTTGAAAATGGTTTAAGTTTGCATGATTATTATATTTATCACTGAAAGGCCTATTTTCTCCATTTTAAAACAATTGTATGTTCACTGACTATGTCTTCTAACAGTTTTTCTAATATAAACATGATAAGTTAGATATTTTTCTTCTGCTGATAAAACTAGAACGTTTTGTTATTCAAAATAAACAGCATAGACATTTGCAAGAGCAAATAGTGAGGTATTTTTGAAAGCATATGATGACAATGTATCACTGGCAGGATCCCAAACACATCTGCTTCCAATTTGCATGCTCTGTTCACTTAGTTGTCCAATATGTACAATCACAATAATTTTGTACCTTGGTATCATAAGGTCTTTTACCCGAGCCTTAATAACCTATAAGAGAGAAACATGTTCAGACAAATTATTTTATATACTAGCTTCAGAGGGTAAAATCACTGCCTTGATACAGTATACTATAAAGATGCTATGTCTAGTATTATTGAACATTTTCAAGAATCTTGTTGATAATCACCTAACCACAGACTTGCAACATCATCCAGTAAGTATTCCAGTCCCACTAGAGGGTCGAATATGTGAGACTGAGGTTACAGCACCAATGAATCAGTATTTCAACATTGATGACAGTAATATCAATTCTTGGAAATACCTCATCACAAAAGGGATTAACTTCAGGAGTTACAATTTTAAAAAGAGGTGGCATCTTCGTGATGAATTACAGCACCGATGGGCAACCTGAGGCCCATCAGGCTTGTATGTGTGTGGCCCACAAGACATTTTGTTTACTGTTGATCACATGCAAGGTTGCCAGATTCCACTGGTTTCTATCCACATAGGTTTTTTCCTACTGGTATTATTAAACTGATAGGCACGTGAAAATGATAGCAATGGACAAACTAGGCTAGTGAGTGAGCCACACATCTCAGTGGGCCACAAGACTGTCATAATCAAGATGGCCTCCAAGGATAGGGCAGTTTTGCTAACTGCGCTTGCATACCTAGAATTTGTGGGGAATGCCAACTGAACCATAGCAGCTTTTTGATGGATGCAGAGGGTGTGCACAGCTCTCACAAATGTGTGCAATCAGCATGCATCTCATTTAATGTACCCTTGTTTTACATGCACATTACTTTTCCATTAGGGAAAAAACAGTACCTATGTGGACCAAAATGAGTGGAATCTGGAACCCTGTACATAGGCAATAGTAAACAAAATGTTTCACAGGCCACAAATTCAAGCCCGATGGGCCGCATGCCCACCACTGTGAAATGTGGTCCACTCACTAGCCTAGGTTGCCCATCACTGAGTTAGAGCAAAGCGTAGCTCAAATATGAAAATTGTCTACAAAAAAGATGGCACCTTCATGCTTAACAGATTGTCACCAAATTGGTGATCATGAGATGGTAGATTTCAGGATCCTGACCAAAGGAAGAAAAGAGAGTAGTAAAATACACACCTTGGACTTCAAAAAAGAACAGATTTTGACTCCCTGAGAGACCTGACAGGCAGAATCCCCTGGGATGCTAACATGAAGGGGAAAGGAGTCCAGGACAGCTGGCAGTATTTTAAAGAAGCCTTATTGAAGGCACAGAAAGAAACCATCCCGACGCGTAGCAAGAGAGGCAAACATGGTAGGAGACCGGATTGGCTTACAGAGGAAATCCTTGGTGAACTTAAGCACAAAAAGGAAACTTACAAAAAGTGGAAACTTGGACAAATGACCAGGGAGGAGTTTAAAGGTATAGCTCGAGAATGCCGGGGGGTTATCAGGAAGGCGAAAGCGCAAATGGAATTTTGACTGGCTAAGGATGTGAAGGATAACAAGAAAGGTTTCTACAGGCACGTTAACAAGAAGAAGGTGATCAGAGAGGGTGGTACTGGATGAAGGAGGTAACCTAGTGACAGATGATGTGGGGAAAGCTGAAGTACTCAATGCTTTCTTTGCCTCTGTATTCACGGATAAGGTGGGCTCCCAGACTAATGCGCCAAGTGACGCAAGATGGGATGAAGATGGACAGCCCGTGGTGGGTAAAGAACAAGTTAGGAACTATTTAGAAAAGCTAAATGTACACAAATCCATGGGCCCAGATTTAATGCATCCGAGGGTACTGAGGGATTTGGCAAATGGTACTCAGGGAATTGGCAAATGGTACTCAGGGATTTGGTTTGGGAATTTTGTGGTAGTAGGTCATCAAGGACCCCAACAAAGTACGCGTACCAACGGGTCACTAATCTTGTATTTGCTACATCAAGTCACGTGACTGGAGCAAGTCACAGTTTTAGCAGCGTGGGCACCGGTGAACCTAAAAATAGAGTTTTACCCTGTCATGTTCTATTTGTCTCCTGTTTAATATAATGATTGTGTTTGTGTTTGTATTATTTCTTGGAAGTCTCCAGCTATCTGGCAAGTAAGTGGAGATTATCCTGGGTTAGAATTTTCCTCCCAAGCTGCCCTGGTGACCCTGCCAGGAAGAAGTGAGGGGGGTGGAGGCACCGCCAAATAGATTCATAGGGAAAAATAAAGAGGATACACCCCGCTGAGTGGGTGGCGGGATACAGAAGATCCCAGACCTGTCCATCAAAACCTGTAAGCAGATTGGCGTTAAAGAAGGTAACCGGATCTTTATTAATGACCTGGATGAGGGGATGGATTGCACCCTCAGCAAGTTTGCAGATGATACTAAGCTAGAGGGAGACATGGATACCATTGAGGGCAGAGATAGGGTCCAGAATGACTTAGACAAATTGGAGGATTGGGCCACAAGAAATCCGATGAGGTTCAACAAGGACAAATGCAGAGTCCTGCACTTGGGACGAAAGAATCCCAAGCATAGTTACAAGCTGGGGACCAACCAGTTAAGTAATAGTTCTGCAGAAAAGGACCTGGGGGTTACAGTGGATGAGAAGCTGGATATGAGTCTACAGTGTGCCCTTGTAGCCAAGAAGGCTAATGGCATATTAGGTTGCATTAAGAGGAACATTGCCAGAAGATCCGGAGTTGTCATTATTCCCCTTTATTCAGCTTTGGTGAGGCCACATCTGGAGTATTGTGTCCAGTTCTGGGCCCCCCACTACAAAAAGAATGTGGACGCATTGGAGAGGGTCCAGCGGAGGGCAACCAAAATGATCAGGGGGCTGGAGCACATGACTTATGAGGAGAGGCTGAGGGAGTTGGGTCTGTTTAGTCTGCAGAAGTGAAGAGTGAGGGGGGATTTGATAGCAGCCTTTAACTTCCTAAAGGGAGGTTCCGAAGAGGATGGAGGAAGGCTGTTCTCAGTAGTGACAGATGGCAGAACAAGGAGCAATGGTCTCAAGTTGTGGTGGGAGAGGTCCAGGTTAGATATTAGGAAAAACTATTTCACTAGGAGGGTGGTGAAGCACTGGAAAGGGTTACCTAGGGAAGCAGTGGAGTCTCCATCCCTAGAGGTGTTTAAGTCTTGGCTTGACTAAGCCCTGGCTGGGTTGATTTAGTTGGGATTGGTCCTGCCTAGAGCAGGGGGCTAGACTTGATGACCATCTGAGGTCTCTTCCAGCTCTATGGTTCTATGATTTTGAAGAAAAAAAAAACTGAGGCACCGTCTTGTCAGGGATACAGGGTTTCCCTGTCTTGTAATCTGGCAGATCCTAGGGATTCACAGGAGAGCTAGCACTAACATCGACATCCCATTAACATCCCCACCATGGGCAGCGTATAGCCATTTAAACGATTAACTGATAAATCTAAGGCTTACCAGTTAATCCAAACGATTACATGCCATCCCCCTCCCTACTTGCTGCCTCTGTATCATAGGCAGCAAGGGGAGGGAAAGGCGGGAGTTGGTGCCTGTGGGGAGCCAGCTTTTAAGTCACCTCCCCGCACATGTTGGTTCCTGCAGAGCCACCTGCCCCCCTCCCACTGCCTCCCACAGAGGCAGCATCACAGGGGGCAAGAGGAAGCTGCTGCTTCGGGGGAGGCAGCTTAAAAGCCTGCTCACTGTGAGCACCAGATCCTGTGGAGCTGCCTACCCCCCAACCCTATACTTCTGCCTCTGATAGAGAGGCCACAATGTGGAGTATGAGGGGTGCAGGTGGGAGCATGGTACACATGGGAAGCCAATTTTCTAGCCAGCTCCCCATGGGAAGCCAATTTTCTAGCCGGCTGCCCGTGCATATCGGCTCCTACAGAACTGCCTGGCTCCTGTGCTGCTGTCTCTCTATCAGAGGCAGCAGCGTGGGAGGAGAGAGGGCAAGCAGGATGCCAGAGCAGCCTCTGTCCATGGGGAGCTCAGGCCTGCTCACAGACAGGGGCTGCTGCTCCCTTTATATCAGAGACAGCAACACGGGGTGGCAGTCAGTCTGTGTGGGAGCCAAGTTTAAACTGGACCCCCTCATGGATAGAGGCAGCAGCTTGGGATGGCAGGGGGCTCCCCAGAAGCACAAGGGCCGTCAGTCCCACCCCTGGAGTCTTTTAGTAACCATGCAACTGCTAATTGTTGCAACTGTAATTACTAAAATACACACTAACATCCTTAGCATATGGTACACCTAAAACACACTCACATGGATGATTCAGAGGATAAATTCAGTAGAATAACTCTCCTCTGGCCACAGAAGCCCCCTATGACCATCTGGGGGCTCCCCATAAGTTACCTGGGACTGTTCCATTTTCTGCATTAATTTTGAGGACCAGAGGAAGGATGTTGTGCAATTTGGCTCACCCATTTGTCACAAGCCTGACAAGTCACAAAAAGGGGGTGAATCTGACCCATAATTTACCCCAAAAGTGTAATTGTACTAATAATTTATTTTTTGTACCTCAGAGATGGTCTTTGTCATTTGTCTGCATAGTTCTGCTTCATATTTTTCTTGTTGAAGATAACTAGTCAGCACATCCTTCAAAATATTATTTACTGTGACCACTGGAAAACGTTTTGCAGGACCTGGTATATACAGATATTTTATAATGCTTTAATTTGTAAGTCCATTTTGAGAATAACTGAACACACATTGTAAACTGCTTTTTTAACCTGATTAATCAAAATGACTAATGAAAAGAGACTAATTAGTACAGTGAACTAAAACGCTAGATATGTGCTTGTGTCTCTCTTTGAAGACCTGAATTCAAGTCAAAATTATATAATACTTTTATGATCTCAGCCATTATAAAGCTACTATACAATTTGGTATGGTTTAAAGTCTATTTAAAAGAGACCAGAAACTGAAATGGGAGTGATGGTAAAGATCAGAACTGAGGTGCTTTATTCAAGCTTGCACAGCATCTCTTCTAGCCAGCGCTATTACAATATTTCATTTTAAGAACATTAATTCCCCCCCAAATTAAAGAGAGAGACTGATTTTTATTACTGGAAAATGAAGCATCTTCCAATATATATATATATTTTCTCTTTAATTACAACCTTATAATAGATTTACCAGAAAATTAAGTAACAAATTAAGGTTTCAAGTATCAGAGGGGTAGCCGTGTTAGTCTGAATCTGCAAAAGCGACGAGGAGTCCTGTGGCACCTTATAGACTAACTGAAGTGTAGGAGCATAAGCTTTCGTGGGCAAAGACCCATGCATCTGCATGCATCTGTCGAAGTGGGTCTTTGCCCACGAAAGCTTATGCTCCTACACTTCAGTTAGTCTATAAGGTGCCACAGGACTCCTCGTCGCTTTTGCAAATTAAGGTTTGTAGCTCTTTGGGAATTTTTAATGAGATTCTTTCATTCTCATTCCCCTCCAGAATTTTTACCAGAAAATAAAACTGGTAAGTAAAACAGGAGTGACAACCATGTAAGACATCAATAGACCTCTCTAATTCAAAAGTAAATATATGGTTAGCTGTATGCTAACGTGACCTGCTAACAATCACTTGAAACAAATGCTATATGATAGATACCCTACTAAGAAGCTTCTGGGAAGGAATCTGCCTAAATATGGATTGTTTTCTAAATTCCACATTTGTGCCACCATATAACTTTATTTTTAAAGCAGCAAGAAAAGTTCCCAGGTTTATTTTGATGTATTTTTTTAACCTCTTCTCCCTAGTATTGGAGTGTTTTCTGACTTTTAATTAAGGTGCACAAAAAGAGGATACCTACAGTTTGTTATACCTCTTCCATGCTGAAATCTATTCAATGTAAATGTAATTCCCTTCAAAGTACTAGAAGTACTATAACCAGCAGAACAGCAGCAGTTGAAGTATTTCCTTCCTCACGTTCCTCAAAGGTCAAGAATATTTTATTGTCTCTCTGGAAAAATGCAATTGTGGATCAGGCAGTTTTGTGGCAGAAATGTATATTGGTTTGATCCTATAAAATGTTCTCAGTAAGTTCTTATACATAAGTCTTAGTTTAAAAGATTGCCTTACAAGAAGATTGACAAGTGCGCCATGTACAGCTACTCAGTAATTTTTCAGCAAATCTTCCCGTTAAAAAACATTGATTAGTTCTCTCACTGAAATTGCTGGAGAGAAAAGGTCAGTTTCAGTAATTTTTTTGACTCTAACAATTTTTGAAATTTTTTCTAAACTGATCAAACATTCTGTTTCTAACATTTAAAAATGAAAAATTAGTTTCCCATTTTGAAACATTACACTTTAGGGATGTGAATGGTTGACTGCTAAATATCACCCTTATCAAAGGATATTTACCGGTTACAGTCAACGAGCGGCCCAGCCAGACTAGAACAGCCCCCCACCTGCCAGCTCAAGCGCTCCTGCCTAGGTGGGCCCACTGCGCTGCAGGTGGGGGGTGTTCCTGCCCCAGGTGTCCCAACGCAGGTGGGGCATATTCTGCCCTCATTTAAACAGTTAACTGGTTAAACATAACATTTGACCAGTTAACTCATTAAACAGGATTTTACTAGGGGTGTTAGAAAGCAGTTAATTAGGTAACCGTGTAAGTGCTCCCAGCACACATTAGTTCCTACCTGCCTCCCCGCTCCCTGGGAGTCAACAGCCACCCCTGATACAGAGCCTGCAGGGTGGGGTGGTAGCCAGCTCCCTGGGAGTGGGGCCAGGAGCCTGCATGTAACCAATAATGGTCACCAATGAACCCAGGCTTATTGATTAACTGTATAAATGGTTATACTATTACATCCATAGACTTTACATCCCTATTTCATTTAGAAATTTAAGTTAATTACAGTACAAGTGAAAGCATTCATCAATAGGGCTGCCAGATACTTTCACAAAAAATCCCAAACATGGCAGGGAAAAAAATTGGTTGGAAAAAAAAAAAGTCTCCTTTAAATTGCCGTGCTGCCCCAATACCCCCGCCAGATGTGGCAGGGGAAGAATGTCCCCTTCCGGCCTTTTTACCAGACAGAAGATGCGATTACTGGACTGTCCGGGTGAAAACTGGACACCTGGCAACCCTATTCATCAAGAGGTTGCAAAAGAGCATAAAGAGGTATGTGGAAATGGCATCTGCAGAGAAAGAGACTGGATTTAGACCAGACCAAAGAGCAAAAGATCAGTTATTCGTGATTAAAAGAAAAAATCAGATAAATACACAGAACACAACCAAAGTAGATACGGGCTTTTCACTTAACAGAAAGGGTTACAAGTTATGACACTGTATAGCACTCCAAAAATGGTTGAAAGTTAACTGAAACAATTTGAAATGATCAAAACAAAAATTTGACCCTAACTGAAATCTTTTTGGTTTGTCAGTTCACAAAAGTTTTTAAGATTGCAACTTTTTGTCTCAATTCAAAATTGGATTTTAAAAAAAATCTTAAATATTTTACTGGGATGGGAAAACTGTTTCCTAACCAGCGCCAAGACCATTTAGTGGACAAACTTTATCCATCTACTATGCTGTGAATTAATTGCTCCTATACCTTTAGCCAAAAAAAAATAAATAAACTCCTTCCCTAGCTGTTAATAGCACCTCAGACACTGCAACTTTTAGATGCCTAAACTTTGTTTTCAATTAAAATATACATCATGCTATTTTCAATTCTAAACTAATACGAATTTTGATCCCTAATATTCTCTCATGCTCAGACTCAATTATGATAAAGCTGTTTTATCAGGAGCCTTTATGGCCGTAACAATTTAGGGGCAGGACAATCCTTTTGTTATGAGTTTGTACAGTACCTAGCAAAGAGTGGCACTGATTTGGAGCCCTTAGTATTACTTGAAAATCAAGAAGATAAATTACTATGCCTCCCGGTCTAGAAATTAAGAGACGCACTCCTGATAAAACAGTTATCTTAAAGAGATCCTATCAACCTCAAAATCCTTGTTCTCCCTTAAATTTTTCAATTTACAATTATTAAAGGTGGCAACTAAGACTATAATAAAATTTATAGATTTTTTTTTCTAAATTTAAGTCGTTAATTTGATAACTTGATGCATTTAACTGCTATTTGGCAGTCTCTATATGTTTTTTCACACAACAGGGAGAGATGATGTGTTTTAGGTTTTTTTTAAAAAACACAGAGAGGTGATTGTAAAACTACAAAAACTGTCAAAAACAGTTCAGGGCAAATATAGCAATGGAAACAATAGTAGGTTTTTGTTTTTGTTTTTTTAAACTGACTACATTTTGACGGTTTCTCCTTAATATTATATATCCATTTAGCGAGTACCTGAGTGATGCAGTTTACATTTTCAATTCATATTTGATGGTCAGAAGGGATCATTAGAGCAATTAATTTAACAGCTATATCACAGAGCATTAAATTTCACCCAGTTATGCCTATACTGAGATTATTCCTTTTTTTTCCCCAGCATGAGATTGAGGAGGAAGTGTTCCATACCCAGCTGATAAGTGTTCTCCAACTGAACAGCAAGACGAGGAATATCATGACCAGGTTCATCCATATAAGATACTGTGCTCATGGAGCTAAAAATAATCCAAAAAGTGACTGTATAAACTAGTGTATATTCAAAATGATGTTGATAAAAATAGAATGCAAAATTGTAGATAGAAAGCTGTGTATCTCTACTCTCTCAGAAAACGTTAAGATCATCTTTGGACTGTTTTATATCAAAATAAGATCAGTTAAGAATGTCTTCTCTCAGGATATTCGATGCTAAAGAAATATGCTGCCACTTAGTGGGACATACACAGCCGTTAAACACTAAAGAGTAGTGGAAACAAAATATCTATTCTGCCTTGTAAAGCTAACTATTTTTAAATGACATAATGCATAAATTTGCCAAAGTGTATTCTGAACAGAGCTTCTGTTTTAAAAATTAATCTGCACTTAAGAAAACAAATTATGTTTCTAGCTGCATGGAGTTGAATAGAATAAAGCAAAACTATCATTGTAAAACCTTAATTTGGTTTTACTGTAACATAAATACAGTAAAGAAGCCCAGACTTTAGAAGCAGCTAGGGGGTCAACTGCTCAATTTTAAGGAGGGTGGTGGGGAAGCAGGATAGAGATAAATAAAAATAATTTTGATAGACTCTGATATACGAAGCAAGCAAAATTCATCTTAAAATACAACTTTACATAATATAATTTTGGTAAATACTTTGTCACTCTTCTTTGTATTCAAATTATCACTAAGCTTGTCTGTGGATTGAGGTGACCCCCTAAAAAGGGACACACTCTATAATGGAATCTACCTTCTGGTTCCAAATGGAACCCACTGGGTGAATATGTTATTGCTTCCCTATGTTCCAATTCATAGGGGGCATGAGTTGTTATAGCCTCTGTCTTTCATCTCATGATTTTCAGTCTGGAGGTTCCTGGTTCAGTCTCCAACATGGCAGTCACCAGTTACACAGTTATGAAAGGAATCACAGAAACACTGCATTTGAAATCCTTTTGAATTCTGGCATTTATTACTGTGTTTGTTATAATAAAAATAAATGAATATTTAAAAGTGATTGTTTTGCTTTACTCAATTCTACACAGCAAATTTTTTCTTAAATGGACATTAGTTTTGAAAAAAAAAAGCTGAATTCAGAATGCACATTGGAAGGAATAATTAGAAGACAGAAATCCCAAAGATGAACTTTTCCTCTTCCCATTAAAGGTGGTAGAGGGAAAGGATTTTGAGAGGGAGAGTAAACATAAATATTTTCAAAAAAAGAGAGAAAAAACTTAAAACGCACAAGCAGTTCCTCCCTCACCAAGACAAAAACAAGGAAACCATCCGGTTACAATTAACATTTTTAAATGGGTACTCTCCATGGGCTTCATCTCAGTACACAGGCCCTGACCCAAACATTTAAGCACTTTTTAAACTTCAGGAAATGAGTAATCCTACAGAGTTCAGTGGGACTACTCATATCCTTAAAGTGTTTTGCTGGATTGGAGCCAGAGCATTAGACAAGCTTTCTGGGCCTCTTGAAATCAGGGGTGATCTTAATCATTACCAAGAACCAGTTCTTCAAGTAACCCCCAACTTATTACATCGATCAGCATTTACATGTGTTGTTTATGACAGTATGTTTGCACTAAAAAGGTCCCAAACATTTAAATTTCAGATTTAGTGAAGTAATCAATGATGAGAAAAAGCACTTTTACAGTGATGCCTGAATGACAGAACATTTTTCCTTAGGAATTGCTATGCAAAGAAGCTTCAGAAACAGGAGTTAGATTCAAAACAACCCTTCAACAACTACCCTTTTTATTTCTCAATTTCCTAACTAATGCACTGACATTTTAGAATACAAATTAGGAAAAAAAGAACTACTCACTCTTTGTTTTTTCCAAGGATTTCTTTTGCTTTGACTTCATGGCTGCTTACAGAGGATATGCTGCCTCTTTTCTTTAACAGACGTGCTGCCTTATCCTTGGCTATGTCTGACATGTCTATTAAATATGAAAATGTATATAGTATGACAGAGACCCTAGAACATAAGAGTGGCTGCAGCCACAGCACACACATATTAGCAAATCAGCAATATTGAAGAATGTGCTCCATTGAAAAATGATTGATCCAATGGAGGTTTTACAATATTGTAGTAAACTAATAATCCTTGACCTAGTTTGTTCCATGTACACAGTCATAAAAAAACTGAACTGGGGCATCACTGACTATAAAATGATTCCCCTGTTTTGAGTTTGCAGTAAAGAGCTTTACACGGAAAGTAAAATGAAAAGATTTTAGCTACAGAATTAAGATGATCTTGCCCCAGAAACAGGTTTCTCTGGGTGGCAAGTGCCACGCGTTAGGTGAGGACCACTTACAAACCCTTTATCACCTTGCAGGACTGACTGGAGTGAAAATGAAGAACACCTTAGTCATTGCACAGCCAGCAGAGCTGACTGCCCTACACAAAGGGGAGAAGTACTGAGGAAGGAGAGACAAAATACAGGACGATGTAGCACTTTAAAGACTAACAAGATGGTTTATTAGGCGATGAGCTTTCGTGGGCCAGACCCACTTCCTCAGATCAATATGTGGAAGAAAATTGGCACCAAGTGATACAATCAAAAACAAGTGAACTGAGAAATGAGATTTTAGAAGAGAGGGGGGATGAGGGGGGAGGTTAGTGTCGGTGAGGTGATGATATCAGGGGCGATACCTGTGTAATGGGTGAGATAAAGTGTCCAGAGAAACAGAGGCACCTTTGAACGCGGGTGCTCTGGCCTGCGGCGGGGACACACCAGCCCACAGGACAAACCTACTCTTAGTCCATAATCCCAGCCGCGCTGCGAAGCTCAGCCCAGGCTCCATCTTCCACCCCTGACGCAGAGAGCGTGTCTGTGTGTCTGTCTGTCTGTCTCTGTCGGCAGAGGGGAGGGGTCTGTGTATGTCAGCGTGTCTGTCTGTCTGTCTGTCTGTCTCTGTCGGCAGAGGGGAGGGGTCTGTGTATGTCAGCGTGTCTGTGTGTCTGTCTGTCTGTCTCTGTCGGCAGAGGGGAGGGGTCTGTGTATGTCAGCGTGTCTGTGTGTCTGTCTGTCTGTCTCTGTCGGCAGAGGGGAGGGGTCTGTGTATGTCAGCGTGTCTGTGTGTCTGTCTGTCTGTCTCTGTCGGCAGAGGGGAGGGGTCTGTGTATGTCAGCGTGTCTGTGTGTCTGTCTGTCTGTCTCTGTCGGCAGAGGGGAGGGGTCTGTGTATGTCAGCGTGTCTGTGTGTCTGTCTGTCTGTCTCTGTCGGCAGAGGGGAGGGGTCTGTGTATGTCAGCGTGTCTGTGTGTCTGTCTGTCTGTCTCTGTCGGCAGAGGGGAGGGGTCTGTGTATGTCAGCGTGTCTGTGTGTCCCAGCGCTAGGGGCAGGGAGGGGTAAGGCGGGATGCAGCTCAGTCCCCACCTCAACAATTGTTCCAGCACCACTGGCCATTCTCCCAGCAGGGAGCCAAGAGGGGACCAGGAGCCCATGGAACCAGCATCTCAAAGGGTAGCAGGGCTCTCAGCAACAGCCCGCATAACAGCCTGGCTTGGAGCAGAGACCGGGCAGCAACCCCGCTGGGAAGCCAGGAACCTGGTTTAAGACTAGCCCTACTGGGGCTGCTGCAGGTCCAGCTAGCCCAGCATCCTGTCTTCCAACAGTGGCCAATGCCAGGTGCCCCGGAGCAAATGAACAGAACTAGGAATCATCATGTGATCCATCCTTGTTCATTCCCAGCCCGGACAGAGGCATCCTGGTTAATCACCATTGACTTGGTCTAGTTCTTTTTTTAAACCCTTCACACCATCCAGTCAAAGAGTTCTAAGGGTTGACGGTGTTGCATGAAGAAATACTTCCTTTTGTTTTAAACCTGTTGCCTTATTTTTTTCATTTAGTGACACCTAGTTCTTTTGTTATAAGAAGGAATAAATATTACTTACTTATTTTCTCCAAACCAGTCATGATTTTATAGACCTCTCTCATACCCCCCCCCCCCAACATGTCTCTCTTCCAAGATAAGAAGTACCAGACTAATTAATCTCTCCTCATAAAGGAAGCCATTCCATACCCCTAATAATGTTTCTTGCCCTTTTCTGAACATTCCAGTATATCTCTTTTTAAATGGGGTGACCACATCTGCACACAGGATAGAGGATGCAGGCATACCATAGAGTTATACCAGTGTTTCCCAACCTTAGGGGCCGGGCGCCCGCCGGGCACCAGGGGGCGGGGACACATGCGCGCCCGGGGGCAGCCCCCCCCCAGCTACATGCCGTGCTCGGGGGCGCCCCCCCCGCAAGCGCCGTGCTCCCG